CCCTACACAGCAGAGATGAAGGAAAGGAGTGAACTGTGGGCCAGCTTCTGCGCCTGGGGTAGAAAGGGAAATGGTATACGAAAACTAGCCTAACGAGATCAAGACGGATGGACTCAGGTCTTGGGGGTTGGGGTGAGGCGAGAAGATACTGAAGAGATAAGAGGAAGAAACAAGGTTAAAGCACCGAGACAAAGGAGTAGTGAACACCAGCCTAAAACGGGGCAAAATCAGCAGCAATGGTGGTGGTAGTGGGGTCTGAGGGCCTCTGACCTTAAGCCAGGCTCACCTCTAACGTCTAATTTAAATGGTAGGCCTTCGCTTCTTCCATACTCCACACCCACATACACTCAGCCTCTAAAAGGTCAGCTCTCTGGCACCCAATCATAGCTTCGTTTTCTTTCATTTTTTTCTTTAAAGGTCTCCATGGAGGGAGGGCTGACTTGTAATCAAGGCACCCACTTGTTGTATATGCTTCACAAAATTCTGTTTAATAAACACAAATTTGAAAATTCCTCTCCAGTCTAACCTTAATTCAGTCCTGTTACACTCTCTAATCATTAACATCAATATCAAAAAATCTCAAAGACCTCACTGTAAGTTTATGCAAAATATAATAAAGCAAAAATATAAAAGTTATCACTCCTTTACCATGAGTGTACTTTTTTAATTATGAAAAATTCCAAGCATCTACAACAGTGAAGAGTGTAATGAAACCCACGTACCAGTCACTCAGCTCCCACATCAACTCATGGCCAGCCCCACTGCATCTGTACCTCACCTATCCCCAATATTCTAGATTATTGTGAAGTAAATCCCAGCCAGCATATCTTTTAGGTGCATTTCAGTGAAAAGCCTCTGCGAAGTACTTAGAATAAAAGGCTGGTTACAGCCCCTTCTAGAATTCTAACAGTTTTTCAAGGGGATGCCATATAGGCAGGATGACCACCATTTCTGCAAACCAAGGTCATGTCCAGTAACCACAACCAAAAGAAATGCAGACAAGAGTTGACATCCAATGACCTGCACATAGTAGGACTAAAAGTCAAGTCTCCTATCATGTTCCCGCAGCCACAAGCCCATCTTGTCTAAACATGATTTCAAACAATGCTCCGTCTCTTCCAGCTGCTGCTACTGTGAAGAGGCAAAGGAGAGGGAATATCAAATACCATCTAGGCAGTACCACTCCGGTCCCCACGCTTCTCCAGAGGACACCTCAGAGGCTCCCACATCTTACTGACAAAGCCAGACTCCAAAAGCATGTTTCAAAGTCAGAGCTACTAACTGCTATCCTTAGCTATGCTCAAAACATATGATTTTTAAAACCTGTTTATGTAAAACTCCACCGGAATGGCAACTCCTTGAGGGTGATTTTTTTTTAGTTTCCTTCTCTGCCATCCCCAAGCACCTGGAACAATGCCTGTGCCAGTACTAGGTCCTCTATGCTAACACTACCCTCTGCTTGTCTCCAGCGGTCTAGTCTCAAGTCACTGTACATCCACATCCTCCTCCACAGCCCAGGCATGCTCCATGGTCTTCTAAGTCCTCAGGGGATTCAGGAAGAGGCCCGACAGTTTCCCTAAGGTTGGTTTAAAAAAAAAAAAAAAAAAAAATTTGGAGGGCCAAGAGGTCTTCTGACAGGTGCAGGAAGGGCGGAGATGCTGACAGGTTTGAGGAAGCAAAAATCAAATATGGGTCACCGAGAGCAGCAATAGGAAGGAGTCCAGGCGACAGTCTGGAGTTTATCAAAACAGAAAGATAATCAAAGTGATACTTTTAGTAGATATATCAGAAAAATATGAAATAGAAGTAGAAAAGGCTTATTAATTTATACCTCCTTTCGCCATTCTAAAAATGGAGGGGGCAGAAACTAAAAGTGAAAAAATCTTTTAAGTTATTTTATGGAAGAGGTTAAACTATTTTCCCCCCTTCTCTCTTAGCATCTACCTAAAAGTTAAAATAACAGAAGACAACAGGCGATACTTGTTTATTGGGAAGCAAAAAATTCTTAACCTAACCCAACTGCCAATGAACAAAGAAAATAAAATGGTTCGTAAAGAGCACTCTGATTAAAAAGAACAGCAGCCACCACACACACCTCCTACCTCTGCCCCCAACGCCCTAGTCTTCCTACGCAGGAGAAATCTCTATCAATCATTTGTCTAGGTTCTAGGTTGTTCAGCATTGCTGAATACGCCTACAGTTCTTTACCAGACTTAGGGTACTTATAACACTCTCTACCTCCTTCCCTCCAAGACCAACTGTTTAATGTTTAAATCACATTTCAGTTCCTCTATCAGTTACCTTTGTAACTTTTAAGATATCATTGTTTACAGGTCCAGAATTGCATTTTTCTTTCTTGTGTTTCCAATGTTACTGCCCATGGGCCACTCAAAGGAGAATGTTCATACATTAGGCACGAATACATTATCTTTATTTAGTTGCCGCCAATTACTCATACTTGTGCCACATATGCGTTTGCTTTATATTTGGCTTGTGATTGAGTGTAGTTTTTCTGCTTTGTGTGGAAATTAGAATTCCCTTACCTCTTAGAAAGAGTTCTATGGTTTGTTTCTTCACCAAATCCCAACCATCTTCTAGCTTCTTCATTCTACCTATTGCTTGGAATCTACCCCATTCCTAGTCCTGAATAAATTTTTCTTGAATCCCACCAAAATTCTGTTCAAATGTGGGCTGCTGTGCAGGCTCGTTGTGTAGGTGACATCTTGAGACTTTTCTGGTTTATTATATCAGTTCGAACATTTCTTGAATTCTTTATCTTCCCCTTTTTTGATTTTCATCTGCAAGTAGCATCATCAGAAAAAGTACAAGAGAAGTAAATTTCAGAAGTCCTTGCACGTCTGAAAATGAGTTCACTCTGCAATGACAGAATTCTAGGCTCAAAACCATTTTCCTTCAGGACTTTGAAGACTGGCTGTACTGTCTTCTGGTTGTCACTGTGGCTGATGAGACATCTGGTTCTCGTTTCTTTTAGAAGACCTGGTATCTCTTTATGGAAAATTTTAAGGTTTTCCAGTCTATCCCTGTTTTTCTGAACTATAACAGTGGCAAGTCTAGCAATGGGTCGACCCTTTCACTATGAAGACAGCTCTTTCTCTTCAGCTCCTGCTAATTTTCTTCTCACACTTTTCAGGATTTTCCTCCTTTCAATTTTTTGTTCTCACTTCCCAGAAATTCTAGATGTCAGATCTAGATTGATTCTCTATATCTTTTTTCACTTTTTTTTTTTTTGCCTGTATTTTGGCTTGATATTGAGAGATTTTCTTGATTTTATCTTCTGATTTGTCTATGGAATCTTTTTTAACTTTGCAAACCCATAATTCATCTCTACAAGTTTTTTGTTTTGATTGTTTCTTCCTGATGACATCTGATTATTTTATGTATGCCATATCTTGAATATCTTGGTAAATGCTAAACAGTGTGCTTTTAAAAACAAGCAAAATTATCTACTGGCATGTTTCAGCTTCAGTCAATTCTTCTGTTTCTCCTTCATTCTGCAGATTTTCCTCAAATGTCTGGTGATTCTTCGATAGCCAGCCACATTTAAAAATGAAGGGTCTCTTACACACACATACACACACACACACACACAAATACTGATACATGCTACAACTTGGATAAACCTCAAAAACATTATGCTAAGTGAAAGCAACGAGATGGAAAAGGTCATGCAGCGCATGAATTATATGACATACGTAGAATAGGTAAATTCATAGAGACAGAAAGATTGGTTGCCAGGGGCTGAGAGGAGTGGAGAATAAATGCTAAGTGGGTACCAGGTTTTTTGGGGGATAATGAAAAGGTTTTAGAACTAGAAGATGGTAGTTATAACACAATGTGAATGTACTAAATGCCACTGGCCTGTATACTTTAAAATGGTTAATTTTAGGTGAATATTATAATTTTTATAAGTGGGGGGAGGGGTGTGTGTGTGTCAGGGAAACGAATCCTAACTCTGTGTACATGGACAGAGGCTGATAACTGACAGGCTTTTCTTTAGGGAGATTAATCGGAGGCAGCTAATACTCAAGACTCAAGAGCCCCTCCAGACAACCAATGAGATCATCCAAATTTCATACTCTTTAAGAGCCCTATCTCTCCCCAGGTTATTCTATTTCATAAAAATAATCAGATTATTTTGCCTAGACCGAAGTGGGGGACGGGTTGACTATTCTACATACAGATCTTTTATTAATCTCCCCATCTGCAGCACACTTATCTCTTCTAGCCTTTGCCAGTCAGAGCTCACAGCTTCTTCAAAGATCTGCTGGACAAACTGGCTCCCACGTGCAATGACATGACACCCATGATACCCCCCAATCTGTTCCTTGTTATTATAACATGTATATGCCATTACTTTCATTTTCATGATATCTAAAAATAGAAGAGCACCCCATATTTATCTCATGCTCTTTAATAATTTCTCCCCGCCTTCCCCAACTCTGCAGATGACCACCGATTTACTTTACAACAAATTAGTTAGCATGTTCTAGAATTTTATGATTGAAATCTCTTTGCTCTTTGCTCTCCTGGGATCCCTAATGCAGCATTGTTATTTTGAGATTCATGATGTTTATGTGAGTAGTTCATTCTTTTTGTACTGTTGAGAAGTATTTTCTTCTACTAACGTGCCACTGTTTGTTTGTTCATTCGTCTGTTTGTAGATATTTGGGTTGTTTCCAGTTTGGGGCTATTACAAATACAACTGCTACAGACATCTGAATACCAAACAAACAAAAACAAATGGAGGGGGTACA